ATAGTTTTGACAGCACAAAAGCCCTTTGAATAGTGTAATCACTTAGTCGCAGGGTCAACCTACATACAAAAGAGTAGCACCAATGCATGCTCGAAAACCTATATTACGAAGATGTGTGAGTAGTAATGAGTCCCACTCATGACGATCCTTCCCTGGTGGATCTTGGGATGATGTCGATGCGCCTTGTAGTTCTGCCAATCTCCGTTCGGCTGCAACCATTCTCTCCTCGAGCGCCATGTATCTTTCCCGATACTCCCTTGCTTTTGCTCGAGCAGCGAGAAGGTCCTGAATAAGTTGGTCTCTATAATGGGAGTCTCATTCCAGGTCTCTAGTGCGAGCAGTGGTAGACTCTATGATGACACTTAGCTCCCGGACCAGGTTGGTCGTCGTCCTACCGCGATCATCCATAATCGCTATCTGTCGAGTCATGACTGGGAGGGCTCTATCAGCCGGTCCCCTGTGGCTGTGGTCCTAGTAACCACTTTGGTCTCCATATGGTGACCGCTGGCATTGTTGTCGGCTCCACCTCTCGATCGTTGTTGCCCAACGGGGCTCAGGCCTATTGTACCCAAAGCGGTTTGCAGGCACCCTTGCGATGTAAGGAGGGTTGAAGACTTCTAGTTCTTCTTCACTTTCATCCTCATCCATGTCTATCTCGACGTCTTCTTCTTCTTCATCATCTTCATCTTCCTCCTCTTCTTCTTCTTCGGGTTCCTCATCGGGATCCTCTTCGGGATCTTCTTCGGGATCCTCTTCGATTGGTTCTTCGGGCTCTTTTTCAATCCAGCCGGCATTTCCCTGATTGGGAAAGTATGGGTCTCCTGGTAGGTGAAATCCTGCCATGTCGTCTGTGCAAGAATAGGGGTGTAAGTAGCATGCAACGGTTGATAATAATAATATCGTGCTATAGCAATCATACAAATACTCCTCTAGTATTTTAAATGTTTAGATTTGGTTCTTAGAGATTTCTTTGTAGAGTGGTGTTAGGTTATTAGATTTGTTGCCCACTATGACTATCCCCTGGTATATGTAAGTCACTTCTCGGACAAATATAGTTGATCAGGCTATATCCCTCCGAGACTTGATTCAAATATACCAAGGCATACTCATGGTGTACAACTCCTCTTCTTTTACTTTATGTTCTCCTAGTTATGACACTACGCGGGCATGTAATGCATGCAGGTATACTTTTAAACGAGAAAACTGTTTATTTTCTAAAAGTATAAACCGTTAAAATGTTTTAAAATCAGATACTTTTAGTCCCAAACTTGTTTATAGTTTGTACATCTTATATGGTTTGATATACTTAATTCACTATAAACTGTGCTCTGATACCAATGTGTCACACCCCCAAACCAAGGATGGTGGAAACGTCCGGGGGTGGACGACTTCATGTATAGTATCATAACAACAATGGCAATAGTAATTCAAGCACACACAACCAACATATATATAATTGAAAAAGTTACATCATTGTATGAATTACATGTTTCCAAATCAATTACAATATGTTGACAAAATATGAAAAGTTGACGCTTTAACGTCCCATCCTCAAAATGCACTTGGTCACCTGTTTAGTGGTTTCCTGAGAATACACGTTGTTTGAAAAAGTGTCAACACAAAGGTCGGTGAGTTCATAAGCTTTTGTTTTAAACTTGATAAAAGCCTTTCTCTTGTAAATATCATGTTCGTTCCATAAAAATCCGATTATATCCAAAGACCGAAATGTATAAGTAATCTTTCTTACTTATAGAAAATAATGTAAGTTTAAAATCGACATAAAAGCGTTTGAATTTAATGAAATTCCCGTAAATTCTTATATTTGTTAATACTTTCTGTGAGTTATTATAACCATGCTATGACCTAGTTGGCCTAAAACGACGTTCTTTAGGCGTCGGAAATGTTATGAAATTTGTCACCTCAAACCTGCCGGTGTAGCTGTTGCATGCAGCTCAGGTGTGGGTTTGTCAATCCCAATATAGATCTATATACAAATATCACGCTCTCCCTCCAGGGGACTCTGGTTATAATACAGGACTTATATGTAAAGTGAAGCGAATGTCTCACAAAGTCATTAACGAAATATGTGTGGTGTAATGAAAATCCTCTTTGTATAAATGTACCCTTTTGAAATGTATGTATTATGTAATGTATCATAAAGTATACCTATTTTATTTTATCAAAACAAGGGTAGTAGTAGTAGTGTACATAAACTACTTAACATAATTTATTCCAACGTTTGTATGTAATGGATGTACTTTGGTTATAACAAATTGTTATTTCTATGTTTTATCTAGAAAAATCCATTTGATAACTGATGTATGTCTATATACTAAGACAAAAATGTCATATATTGCAATAACATATAATCACATAAAGATATACACCTTGCTCGACATGTTACATGGTGAAATGAAATTGATAGCATTTTTCTGTTGATAACATTTTCTATCACTGTTCTTAGAAAATTTGTAGAAAAATCATCAAAGGTGCAAATCAGAATCCGTAAGTTCTGAGAGTTTGAAAATTGAGTCTAGTTTCTCCATAATTTTTCTCATGATTTTTAGTGACCTCTAACTTGTGTGAACAAGTCCATAATCACAGACTGGTCCGGATTGATGTTTGAAATGATAGACAGTTTTTCAAAGAACACCGTAATTTGTAGAAAGATCGTATGGAGATGTGTAAGTAGTCATTTTAAAAATAAAAACTTGAACTACATGCACCTAAAACAGTTTTAAAAACTAAAATGTTTAAGCTGCCTAAAAAAGTCTGTTAATGGAGTGCAACTTTTCTGATGACAGCTGTTAGAAGAATTTAGTTGTGTTCTTGGTGTTTTAACATGTATTCTCCCCCTTAAAACTTAAGAAAGCATTAAAATATGGGGGTATGAACTCACCTTATATGATTTTAGTAGATGAATATTGGAGTAGGAAAGTGTTCAACTCAAGAACACTTGAAGATGCCTTGAAGATTTTCGAGAATCTAACATCAAAGTGATGGAGTTTGTGTAAGAAATCGATGATTGGAGTAGAATGAAGTGTAATAATCACAAGGAGGATGAATTTTACTTACCAAGAGTATAATAAATCTTGATGATCAGCCTTGGAGTCTCGAAATAGAGAGAAAAAGTTTGAGAGGAAAGTTGTGTTAGATTTTTGGTGAGATGAGAGCAAGTGAGTGAGAATGAGGAGAGAGGATGAGTGTCCAGCTCTAAAAACGTGGGGATGACTTGTGAGAGAGGGAAAAAGTAAAAGGAGGTGACAAGGTATGGTGGAGAGGGGTGTGGGTTGATCATAGAGTGGGTATGGTGGTTGCTTGTGTCATAAGCTAAAGGAAACTCAACACTCCACCTCAAATATTCAACCGTTAGATTTTATTCTTAAATAAAGATTTTCATAAAAATATGTTTAAATTATGAATATTTAGGGTCTTATATGTTAAAATATGATTTTTGGAGAAAATCTCGCGTTAAAATCACGAAAAACAGGCTCAAAACGCTAAAGATATTGAAAACCGGGTGAAAATTGTCAAAATCCGAAGTTTCTGGCCGAAGTCGCAAGGTCTCGGCTCTTAAGGAGGTGAGAACCGAAAGTGGGGAAGGGACCGAGAGAATGGAAAGAGGAACCAAGAGCGCGAGTAGAAGAACAGAAGGCGAGGCTCGGTCTCGGCTATGTAGGCTCGCTCCTTGGACAGAAGCTCCAGTCTCGAACCGAAAGTCAGGTCTCGGTTCAGATGATCAGGGGACTGAAATAGACAGAGGGCTCAGTCCATTTCGGTTGAGTGGGTCTCGGTTTCGCCTGCTGGGTCTCGGCTGCTTCTTGGTTTCGGTTGCTAAGAGGTTTCGGCCTCTAAGAGGAGTTTCGGCTCCTTAAGGCTGTTTTTCGCGTTTTTACCCTGTTTCAAGCCGTTTTTGACCCGGTTAAGGGTCGGGGTGGCCCGAGTCACTATAAAAAGTTACGGGAAATTTTGAGAGAGATTTGGGAGACATTTGGGAGAGATTTAAAATAGAGAAAGATAGAGTGAATACAACTGAGAGAGGTTTCGTTTGTGATATTTTTGAGTGTTCGGCTTCGCAACGCAAGGTCCATAAATCCCGTTAAGCCATGATTTAGTGTCGTACACACTCCCGATGAATGTGCAATGGTGTGTTATCGCTTTGGTTCAATGTTTAGCATTGTTAAGGTTACGAAAATTAAACACACTAATTTTAAAATGATGTTTTCTCATTAAAATAGCAGGTTGGTTAGTACTTACACAATGCAAACCCTAATATACAAGGGCTAATTGAGTCGTCTGGTTTGACTTGTTGACTTTGTTTGACTTTGACTTGGCCCGAAATAGACTATTGTCATAGGGGAGGAGAAGTGAAACAATCCAAGAAGGAAAACCCCAAACCTTCTATTGATAAGCTAATCAGTGAAGAACCTACTATTGATAACAGTGAAGATGAAGTGCCTGACGAACACGAGTTGTAAAGAAGAAAAGATCGTGAAGCTTAGATGGATGAGCACCAAGTAATCATTCGTGAGGTCGAAGAGAAAGAAAAAGTCGAACGCGAAGCTTAGGCAACACTAGAAAGCCAAAAGCACTTGTTTCCAGTATGAACCTTGAATCAAATTCTGAGTGAAGCTGTGGATATGCTTAGTCAGTATTGGTTGGAACCACTTATGTCATTTGATCTTCTAAATACATAAGATTCGCAATTGGACCTTCCAATCACTCTGAAAGCCTTTAGGTTTTGCAGCTTTGAGAAAGTTGTGAATGTCCCAGCAACAGACACCGGTGCAGACCACTTACTTTTCTCATTCTACCTTAAGCATATGAAGCCACAGTATGAGACTTGTAGTGCATGAAAAATTATGGTTGTGAATGTCATTGATCCAATTGAAACCGATAGCTTTCCAAATGTGAAATTCAAGGTTGCTAGAGGTTCAACGAGTCAGTTGCATGAGTTTACTCTTGCCAAACTTCCATGCGTGGATCTCTATGATTAGATCATGTTGTACAACTTGTTGATAAGGGATGGACATAAATATGAGCCCGTTGTTGATCACCTTAAGCAAATGATAATTTCATACATTCATGAGGTTGGCCAGATGGATGTTGACATTGTTGCAGTGCTGCAAAGGAAGCCAAGTGTACTCCCTAAAGATAACCTTGATGGTTTTGACAAATTGAAACATGGGAAGATACCAAAGGATGGATGGTGTGTAGCTTTTCAATTGAAGGAGCAGATTGATGCATACTTTCACAAAGTTTGTTACTTGCTCGATGACAAACATTTATTCTCCACTTCGTGCATGGAGTATATCTTGGACTTCGTCAACAAGCACAAGGGTAACAAAAAAAGGTGACAAGAAGTGCTTTCGGATATGATTCAATGGTATATTCAAGTTCTCAAGGTTCTGTTGGGCGTGATTCCAAAAGTATTTGAAGTGTAGAAGCAAACTCAGCAGTGAAGGACTCTTGCCTCAATTGACGCAAAGGGGGAGATTGTTGTGTATTTAATGTTGCGTCTTTTGGGCCTTTTACTTAGTGTTTTGTGTATCCGGGTTGGACATGTCCACCCATGATTAATGATTAGGGTTTTATTATTTATGGTGCATGCATGAATAGTGTATTCTTTAATCGTGTCATTGTAAACCCTACACACCTCTACAGTAGCAGTTCTTTATCGAGCTCTTCTGAGGCTGTGATTTATAATCATTCAACACATTCTTGATTCATATTCTGTTTTTTATTGCTTTTACTTGTTTGAATCTAATTGATCATTAGAGTTTTCAAATCATCATTGAGATTATTCATCTTTTTTTTTAATCTTTGCTTTATTTGTTTGTTTCTTGTTATTGACTTGAGTGTATCCGATCAGTACAAACCTTTAATTGGTATCAGAGCAGGTTTTCTGATGCATTAAAGATTCAAAAGTTAATCTTTCTTCAGAAACTAAAAAAATTAGATGAAGAAGAAGAAGAAGAAGAGAAAATTTCAGACATCTAAAACTAATATCTCTTTATCTGATCAAAAAATTTCAAAAGTAAGGTCAGAACTTTTGTTCTAAGATCTATTAAAGATACAGAAGTTCAAACCGTATTCAGAACCTCGAAAATCAGAAGGAGAATAAGAAGAAGAGCTCAATCAGGTAAGTTCTTCGACGTATATTCTTTCTTAAATAAATCTTTTATAGAGTTAAACATAAAAAGAAAAAGGATGTCGGGTCACACTAAACCAAACAATATTTGGGAAGATTCATAGGAAATAATCTGTCCAAAGTATTTAGAAGTTAGGAACGTTTCAACATCCAATTTCATTTGGGTACCCAATATATCTGGTTAATTTATGAGATATTATAGAGATGTTGAAATTTTCAAGCATATATGTTGTTCTCTCTCATTCTAATGAAAGATTATGTCTATAATCCATTGTTTTCTGTGCTTATAAGTTTTTAGCAAAATATTTGATCAGGAAGTAGAATTCTAAGATAAAGTAGGAGATATTTCATATTTTGCCATGTCTAAATGTCTGAGTGTTGGTTCAAGCAGATTTAAACGAATTGCATGCTTGTTTTCAAGATGTGTTGTTGTTGAAATAATGAAACTTAGGTGTGGTACTGCTCAAAAAGTTAGTCATTGCATCAAAAAAGCAAAAGACACATGAACCAATGGGAAAAGCATCATCCTCTGATATCCAAGTAATTCAAAGAATCAAATGTGATTAATCTTCGACATAGTTTCAATTCATATAGAGGTACTCAAGAGAAAAGCTATATTATCTCTTGAGCAAAATACATCAAATTTGCAAAAAGAGTGCAAGGGATCGAATTAGGATTGCAGTATTGTTACATTGGTATTTATAGGATTGTAATTTGTTATTAAGGAATATATCATAAAATTGCTCCAATACATGCTTCTTACTCTTGCTTCTTGGGAGACTAACCATCTCAAACCTGGTTATATCATTTGGTGCTTTCATCGATGCTACTATGCCTCCCCAAAAAGACTCCTCGTCTGATGACCCACCACCCCCCAACAACATGCAAACCCTCATCCAGTTAACCACCAAACTCATCATCCACATCATCTCTCAATCCACCACCATGTCCTTACAGTTGCAAGCGAATACCAAACTCACCACACTCCTACTAAATCATAAAACCAACTACAACCACCACCACCGCACACCCATCGCCTACCAAAAATCTCGCTTCCCCGGTTTGACGGAACCAACCCGTTAGATTGAATCCTCCAAGAAGATAACTATTTCACATATTATTCCATTCCCCACACATAGCATGTCGCCCTAGCCATGCTCTACTTCACAGGAGATGCCCTCAGCTGGTACAAGCACCTGTCCAGCAACAATCTTCATGGTACCTGGACAGATTTCACTCGAGCCCTGGAAACCCATTTCTATACCTCTACCTATGAAAACCATCAAGCTACACTTTTTAAACTCCGCCAATCCACCACCGTATCAGCCTCCCAATTAGAATTCGAAAAGATTAGCAACTATGTTGAAGGCCTCTCTCTCGAAGCTCTCCGCAACTGTTTCATCTCGGGCATGCGATTCGATATCCAGTCCGAGGTCGCCATTCAAAACCCCACCACACTCCATCAAACTTATGGCTTAGCTAAACTCATTTAGGATAAACTCACACGTAATCGACCCCATTACACACCATCCCCACGCAACTACAACCCTCACCCATCTCCCACACCAAACCCTCCCAAAACATCAACCACCCTCCTGCCACTGAACCGACCATCGTCGGTCTGTTGCCTCCGCCGAAACACCGTAATCCGCTCACATTCACTCGCCTATCACCTGATGCATTACAAAAAAGAAGAGCTGAATGTCTTTGCTTTCAATGCCCAGAAAAATTTCACCCGGGACACGTGTGCAACCCCCCACAATTCCTCCTGATTGCAGATAACGATGATACCCCTAACCCCGATACACACTCCACTGTCGATTCCCTCCTTGCCATCGACCCAAACCTGCCCAACAACAAACCCAACATTAACCCGGACATCGACCAATTACAACCTCAATTCCTGTGTCTCTCAGATGTTGCGTTCTACAGGTTACAATCACCTTGGGCCATTCATGTCACTGGTTACATCCAGGGTCAACCGGTAATTACCCTCGTGGATTGTGGAAGTACCCACAACATCATCCAATCCCGCATCGCTACCCACTTTACCACTAACTCTACACCAATCACCCCATTCATAGTCATGGTTGGCAATGGGCAATTTATTGAGTGTAATAGCCTCCTTCCCAACACACCACTTGAACTTAATAAAAATACCTTCCAAGTGCCCCTCTTTATATTACTTGTAACAAGAGCAGATGTTATTTTAGGCCTTGCATGGCTTCGTTCACTTGGACCAATCCTGGAAGATTTTTCAATTCCCCAAATCTCATTTACTTTTAATGGGTCGCCTTGTGTCCTAAAAGGAGAATTATTGGCATCTTCAGCCTCACCAAGTTCCATCCATACGCTGATAAAAAAAAAAACTCGGTGGCCTCCCTACACAATGTGATTTATCACCATCAAACACCTACCACTAACCCATAGAGCCAACAACCCCATCCAGACCCCCATATTGAATCCCTTCTCACAAAATACAAACCCTTATTTGATACACCTCATAGCCTACCACCATCTCGCCAACATGATCATCACATCCATCTTCTTCCCAACACTCAACCCATCAATGTAAAACCATACCGTTACCCACATCCACCTCCTTCACTACCTTGCATGCCTTTCTGGGCCTTGCAGGCTATTACCGACGGTTTGTCAAAGCCAACACCCAACTCGCAGCCCCATTAACAGGCCTCCTAAAAAACCCCACCTTTTCATGCAATGAAAACACCACCACTACCTTCGCTGCCATCAAAACTGAAATGACCCAACTAATTACCCTAGCACTTCCAAAAATCTCAGAACCCTTCGACATCACCACGGATGCCTCTGGAGTTGCAATCGGTGTTGTTCTATCCCAGCATGATAAACCTATCAGGGATGAGCATCGGAACCGGGTACCCGTTTTTGGAACCGGAACCGCCTCGGAACTGCCGGTTTTGGAACTGGAACCGCCTTAAGCGGTTCTGGTTTCGGTTCCTAAAGTTATGGAACTTCCTTAAGAGGTTTCGGTTCCGGTTCTCGTTTTTTCAGAACCGCTACCCTTTGGGTACCCGCCGGAACCGGTTATATATATATATATATATATATATATATATATATATATATATATATATATATATATATATATATATATATATATAAATGTGTGTTACTTAGACCGGTTTAGAATATATTGTTCTGATTCTGTCTGTCTTTGGTCCGAATTGATTTGATTTGGATCGAACTAAATTGCGGTTTTGTCGAAAAAAGTTAACAAAATTAATGCGACCGGGTTATCCGCTCCCGGAACCAAAACCACCGGTTCCAGGACTGGTTCCAAACATTTAAGAACTGCCTTGAGCGGTTCCGGTTCTAACTTTCTAGGAACCTCCGGTTCCGGTTCTGGTTCCGATTCTCGTCAAATGAGGCGGGTACCCGCCTATGCTCATCCCTAAAACCTATTGCATTTTCAGCAAGAAATTATGTGATAGAATGCAGGCAAACTCCAACTACATTAGAGAATTACACGCCATCATAGAACCAATCAAAAAGTTGCGACAATATCTCTTAGGTCGCAAATTTTGTGTCTACACCGACCACCATAGCGTCAAATACCCACTCACACAAACAATCTAAACACACGAACAACACAAATGGCTCACGAAATTGTTAGGATATGATTTCGAACTACACTACAAGTCGGGTAAAGAAAACAAAGTAGCTGATGCCTTTAGTCGCACCGACACACCACAACTCATGGCTATCACGGGACCCACAACCACTTGGTTGAATGACCTGTGTTCCTATTACACAAACCACCCCGAGGGCAAGAGTTTGATCGCCCAATTAGAGCATGATTCATCTTCACTTACAAATCATACACTTCACAGTGGATTGGTATATGTCCATAACCGAATCCTTATTCCTAACATTCCACATGTACGTTCTTTACTTTGCAGGAATTTCACAAGTCCACACTAGGAGGCCATGCTGGAATACAAGCTACTCTTCATCGCATATCATCTTCTTTTTATTAGCCACAACTCAAGCAAGAAGTTACGACATTCATCAACCAATTTTCCACATGTCAAACCACCAAATACCCCACCCATAAACCTTACCGCCTACTCCAACCCCTTCCCATACCAAATAAACATTGGACCGATCTTACAATGGACTTCATTACTCATCTCCCACCCTCTAATGGCAAAACAACCATATGGG